GATGCTGTACATGATCTATCTTCTCGCTGGGCAGATTTTCTTGGAAACTTTAGAGCAATGTGAAGTGGCCATGTTTGGAGGCATGGTGTCTTTGGCAGGCATGTGGCCAAGGCATCTGCTTTTTCCAGGGCAAATGAGGTACAGTTTCTTGCATACCATCCCTAATGGCATAGTGCCAAGGAGTGGGCACAGTGGTGTTTTGCTGAAACTATTTACTGTTGTAACTAGATATTGTTTCTGCATTGTGCTGGCTTTATGATAATGAGCATTTGGAAACTTCTACAGAAGTTTGTCATTGTTTCAACATCCTAGGGTGTGATTTTATGATTTATAAAAGTATCATTCTGATATAAATAAATTTGAAATGGAAGGAGGAGGAGGAGGAGGCAGAGGAGGAAAAGAAGATGAAGGAGAGAAGGAAAGAAAAGACCCACTCATCACAGATTGCAAAGCGTGACTCTATTCTGTTATTCTGATCTTGTTCCAGATCTGGGTAGTCTAGGATCCTTGTAGAAGCTGCAGAACACTCTTGTGCAACTCCTACTCTTACGGAACATCGGTGCTATTGTATGCTGCAAAAGAAGTTTAGTCACAAAAAACACAGAACTGAAAGCGACAACTTATGTTTTTTGTAACATATGAGACAGTGTTGTGTCCATGGTTTCTTTGCCGTGAGTGCCATCTGCCTTGGGTTAATACAGTAGATGGTCAGATATTGGAATAATTGACACAGTGTCAAACTGCAATTATTTAAATGTGCGAGAAAGAGGTATTTTATGTAAGCATGTGCATAGTTTACTCTATGGCACAGAAAACAGATGACAGCTTTTTTAGCAAATGAAAGGCAATATGCTATTGCTGCAAATACAGATCTCTCCGTCGGGAGAATTCAAGACTGCAAATTCTTATATTCCCACAATGTTTAATTTATCTGTACTGTGGCAAAAAGGGGCATTTTCAGAACACATCACTCAACAGCTGGCCTGCCACGTGCAGCTGAATAAAATAAAAATTCATGAATCTCAGGCCTCAAAGAGCCATTTTCACATCATTTCTGTTGTTCTTTTTTCAGCTATGAATTAGAGGCCAGATGATCACTTAAAATATGCTGTCAAAAAGACAGGAATACCTCACTTTGTTTAATAGGTAAGTTTCTGAAAAAAAAAAAAAAAAGTTCTATGCGTTAGCTTTTCCTTCTCTGTCATTTTGCACACATAAAAATCACTTAATTGACAAGAAGTTGTACTGGGAAAATTTTATAAAATATAATCATCCCCAATTTATGGAAAATATTTTTAGTTTGTTCCTTATAATAATGCAAGTAATAAATGCACATAGTTAAAAACCATAAATTAGTATGCATAATGAGAAGCAAGACACCTGACCTACATTCCTCTTCTCTTTGTCCCATGCCTCTGGGGTTGTTCTTGTTTCTGTTCTTGCTCATAGATCTTCCAAAGGCTGGTGCCATGAGTTAAAAGTTAGCTTTTGCTCTTGCTTCTTGTTTTATCAGCTTAGACATTATGTGACTGACATCCTGCTATGAGAGAGGAAGAGTGAGCTCCCTTACATCATTTCCATCTTATCCTTGGGCCTCCTCCTTTATCAGAGGGATCTGTCCCTCCCTTGGCCAGGTCTGTAACTTCAAATGTATTTCATTTCCTATTCTTCAACTTAAGATAGAATCTCCTAAAGCTAATCCTTTTAGGGTCCTACTGGTGCCTCCAAATTTGCTTTAGAACTGATTTAGTGTTTGACAAAATGCCCTTCAGTTTGAGCTTGGCCAATATTTTCTCTATGATTAGACTGAGGTTGTGCACAGTAGGGAAGCATATTCCATAGATGTTAGAAGCCTCAGCTGCATCATATCAGTAATATGCTATTACTGGGGAAGCGAACTTTAATCATTTTGTTAAAGTGTTGCCTGAGTGTTTCTTTGCTTTTAATTACTATTTTTTTATTTGTAGCAATAAATATTTGAGGGTAGGTGCTTTGCAACTCTGCAAATACCTTGCTTGTCTTTATACTTGTACCCACTAATTTTAGCATTAACTGGTGGATCCTGCCTGTAGCAGTAATGACAGCAGTGTTTGAATAGTCATTTTTTATTTCCTTTCTGTCCTTTATATTGGATTATCCTGTAAGCAGGACTTATATCTTCTGCATCATTTATTTATATATTTAATCAATATCAGTATGGAATCATGAGATTTGTTCTTTAGGCTATAATCCCATGCTCTCATTTTTTGTTTAATTACTAATTTTTTTCCAGCTTTGACCACTGGGAATTCTTTCATGTGAGTTGATGTGCCATTTTGACATGCTCTTTGCTGTTTTAAAAGGGCTTTATTACTTTTTAGCAACGTGAACTGCTTTAGGACTGTCTTGTATTTTTCCTGTTATGGCCTTGCGATGAAATCAGTCACTTTTCTAAGGAGTCCTAGTTCTTTTGGAGAATGGTATTTAGAAGCTGCAAGTTGGTCATAGTTGTGTTCATTGTTATTTGGGGTGTCATTACCTCCAGATCCTCTCAATAAGTTAGTAAATATACTAAATATTTTAAAATCCTCAGAAGTGCAAAGAAAAAAACTATGCTGACATGATATTTTGAGTCTATAACATAAGATTTTATTGATACGAGATGTTAGCATAAGCAAACGAAGGAGGGAGGAGAAAGTAGTGATCACAGTAGCAACAAAGGTACTGTTTTGTTTTGTTTTTTCATTTTTGGTACTGGGAATCAAACCCAGGACCTCACACTTGCCAGGCAGGCACTGTGCCACTGAGCTACATTGCCAGTCCCCAAAACACTGTATTATTAGTGCTCAGCTCTGAGCTCTGAGTTATTTTAACCATTCAGAGAGCCACTCAATGTAGTCCAGTGGAACTATAATGTGAGCCATCTGTTGCGTTTTTGTTTTTAAAAAAGTAATACATTTACAGGAAGATGAAACATTAACAATTAAATTGCCTGTGAAAAGATCTAAAAAATGGTGAGACATACCATGTTCATGAATTGGAAGACTTAACATAAGATATCAATTCTCTCTAAATTAACATGTTGATATAAATCACATTAGAACCCCAGGAATATTTATTGGAGCTATAGACAAGCTTATACGGAAAGAAAAAGAAACTATAATAGCTATAATAAGTTTGCTAAAGAAGTAAAAAGTGCAAAGAAGCATTCTACTTGATTTTAAAATATTATATTGTACAGTAATAAATACTACATGGTCCTGGAAAAGAGATAGACATACACTTCAAAGGCATAAAATAGAGAACTCAGAAGTAGTCATCAATGTATGGCTAACTGATTTTGACAAACTTATGAAAATAACTCTGTAGTGGCTGGATATTAGGAAATGCCATGCCTCATTTTCCTTTTTTATTGGCTGGAGAGAAGTAACACACTCTACTGTAATGTTGTTCTGCCAACCTTCGGGGCCCTAGTCATTCTGCCTTCGTTTTTCCATCTCCATTTTTCTGAACTTTCCCTTGGTTGTTTTTTGCATTATAGGTACATCTGTACTTAGAGAGGAAAACCAGGGAGAAGTCATTCTATATCACCTTGCCTGGACCAGAAATCCTCTGTGTTAATGTTTCACCTTGCAAAATATTTACAAGGTAATTTTCTGCTCCTTTGTCAGCTAGAGTTGTTCACTTTAAACACAGACCTACAGGTAAGATTTTTAGGATAGATACATTAATTTTGAAGAAAATCTCTTTTTTTGCTTGAGGTCTGAGGAAGTAGAGCTGGTTCAGGCTTCTTTTATTTTGCTCCAGATGTTTTCTGAAGCAGGTATACATCATATTTTGAAGATGGAAAGCAGATCAGGGATGGGGTCAGATGAGAGGGGAGAGAGGGAAAAGGAAATTAAAGATCAAGGTATCATACGTATATGTACCGGTTATCCATGATGAATGTATTTATCATATATCACAGTCATATACTAATAAAACAAATTTAAAATTAATAATAATATTTTGAGCATTTTGGGGGTTTCTTTAAAGGTGGAGTTCTCTAAAACTTTTTATTTTCACTGCTTCGAAGTCTTACAAGAAAGGATGAAACTGCCTTATCTCAGTTTAAGTTATGATTCATGGTCTAAAACTGACCTTGTGTTTCTTAAGAGTATACAACCAAATGTATACAAATTGATTCTAGCACTGCATGTCTTCCTCTTGCATGTTTTTTTTTTTTTTTGCTTCTGCAGAGTATTTACTTTGTATGTCTTTCAGATAGAGTTGATGGATGATTAACATTCTGAGCTCTTATGTGTGAGAAGAGAATTCTTAGTTTATAAGCACAGTGCTTCAGAATTGTGAAGCTGTTGATCAATTTGGTCTCTATAGGCAGTACTGTTAGTGAAATATCTAATGCCAATCTAATTCTTATTCCTTTGTTTCACCATATTTCTCTATGTGTAGGTCTGTTTTAAATTCATCTAGGTGATGCACTTTTAAAAAATTCTGAACATTTCCCTCCACTATTTGTCTATTCTTTCTCTTTGTAATCTATGTTTTCTCCTCCTAGAATTCTGGTTATTTAATATTTGGCCTACCCTATATGCCTTATCACTTTTACACACACACACATACACACACATACACTTACCACAGAGTCATCTGTCACATTATGAAAAGGCTACCTTCTGAGAAATATCAGGTGCTTCGAGGCAGACATTGATTACAGGTAGAAAAGAGCAGTGTAGGAATTGAACACTTATCTTGGTCCCATTCTCAGATGACTCCCATTACTTGTAATGCTTCTTCCATGCTGCTAAGTGGACAAGCCAAGGCAACACTTCTGTTTAGAGGTTAAAAAAATCCCTTCATGTGCAGCATCTAATATGACCTTTCAGGTTCTAACCCTTGAGCAACGATTCTAGCTTTACCATGCTTCAAGGTGCGGGTATTTGGTCAATTTTTCAGCAAACACAACAGGGTGTTTGGTGAATTCCAGAAAAATGGGCAGGAGAGGAAAAAACATACCCAGATTCAGAAAACTTTTAATTTTTATTCTTAATTTATAGCATATTTTCTACAAAATGTCCGAGCAAAGTACACTTTAAGAGACACAAAGTATTTAAAATATAATTGGGACAACTTTTAAAAAAAATCCTCAAATGTTTACAGAATGAAAACGAGCCAGTAAATAAAACAAAAACGATGAAATAAGAAGAAATAAGAACAAAATCTCAAGTTTTAGGTGGTATATTCTTTCCTTCTCTTTTCCACATGGAAGCTCCTTAGAATGACGGTTAGGGTAAGATTCCAGAGTAAGAATTATTCCTCTGAGAACACACCTGTGATTCGCAGAAGAAAGTCTACGTTCCAGTTAGGGCAGCCAAGGCTAACTATTCTTCTGTATTACTGAGGTCACAGGACACTTGAGGTTGCTACCTAACTGCAGGGATTTAATTTGTGGAAGTCTTTCTCACTTGCGGGTCTAAAAATAGGTGTTCTCCTGGTCTGTTGTGTTCAGCTGCAAATATTCCAGCGTGCCTTTCTTATAGCTGGCGATCCGTGTTGGTTTACGGCTTTTTATGCCAGCAGCCTGTCTTTTCTGCAAAGAGCTGGTAATCATGTCTGAAAATTCTGCCTGCAAACGCTGTTGATTTTCCCTGGAAGGAGGAAGAGGAAAGAAAAATAGGACTTTTCAGCAATTCACATGGAATAGTCCTTAACTCCAGAATCATCAGTTCAGTTTCCCAATTACTCATTTAACATATCATCTGTGCGGGGAAGTCCAAAGAATACAAAATGATCCTTCGTTTGACAAGCTTAAAGAACTGTCATCCCTGCAATGCGTGGTTGTAAAATAAGCAGAATATATTGCAGGCAGGAAGTTCGACTTAAAGTGAAACAGCTTAACGACACAGTTTGTAGGATCTAGGTTTCCATGTACTCCACAGAGGAGGGAGAAAGAAGCCAGGGGATGCCTGGGCCCTGCCACACAACACTGCAAGCTCATTGTTCCCACACATGCCTAGGAGAGAAAATATTTTGGGGAGAGAGCTCAGGATGGTGGAGGGTTTCAAGAGCTTAGAATGGATGCAGGGCACTCCTAATAAGGAGCCAGGTTTCCTTGCCCTAGAAAAGATGGAGATTCTCTTGCCGTGTCTAACAGCTTTGGCATCTAGCCCTCTGCATGATAGGATTTCTCTACTTTGGCAAAAACCATGGCAACAGCCACAGACTAATTGCTACGTCTACCAACATGGAACTGGACAACTTGAGTTGTGTTGAGAGAACTGAAACCTGTTCATTAGACCTGAACCTTCATCTTCCTCATCTCAGGGACAACACAGATTCCATGTGAAGATCCAGTGCCAAGGCCTTAGGGCAAGAGAGAGGTGTTCTATTTTCATCAGGTGGCTCAACAGAAAAATGTGGGCTGGAGTGAAAATTCAGATCTTTGCCCCCAGCATGCATCAAGTGAGCCCTAGACTGCCTTCTGCTCCTCTGAGCAGGTCTGGAGCACAACACTGGTGCTGCTCTACCTCATGGTGGGAGCACTTAGTCAGTCCTTCAGCAAACAGCCAACACGTGGCTGGTGCCTTCGGGGAAAATGGGCAGAAAAGGTAGCCCAACTTTTAACTTTCATTCCTGCCTAAAATATAGCACATTTTCTGCAAAAAATATGCATTAGTATGTTTTAGTGGAGGCGAGGTATTTAAAATATAACTGGGGCAGCTGAAAAAGCTCCCTGACACATACAGAAAGGAAAAGAGCAAGTAAACAAAACAAAATAAATGAAATAAAAACTAAATCTTAATTAAGTTCAAGACAGTATATTTCTTCTTCCTTTTTCCGAGAGGAAGTCGCCTAGAACAGCTGCTGAGCAAAGACTCCAGCGAAAAGGTGGGCATGTCACTGGGAGTACACTTGTGAATCATAGAGAAAGTCTAAATTCGAGACAGGGCAGCCAAAGCTCTGGACTTTTTTCTGTGTCCTTGAGGTCTCAGGATACTGCAGGCTTTCAAGACACTCACTTGTAGCCATGGGTAAAGGGAAGGTTCTAAACCTCTCAGGTGTGTAGTCCCTTGTCTCATACTAACATGCCAGCACTAATTACAAGGCACTGGGCGGTTTACATGGTGGGAGGTCACATAACATAACTTACCCACTAAGCCTTCCAACTCCACTCTCCCTCCCTGCCCCACCCAGATGCTTACACAGTTGGTGGGGTTGGCAGGCTGTACTCTTGGTCCTTCATTCCGGTCAGCCAGTAGGTGGTCTCTGTCCCTCTCCCCTGGAGACAAAAGAGGTAGGTCCCGTGGAGGCCAATAAGATGATAGGTCTCTACCCAGCTGTTCCTACAGTAATGTGTTTCCAGAGATATTTCACCTCCACACTTCTCATCAATTCCCACGTTTAAGCACAGCTGCCATGCTTTTATTATTTGTGTTATCTCTAGACAAATATTTATTTCCCAAACTATTTTTTAAAATGTCTTTCACTTACCAAGTAGGCCTTCATGAAAGTAGAGATTGCTTTTTCCCCAAAAAGATATTTCAAACTATCACCATAGCAACATTTTAAGAATTCTAACTTTAAAAGAAAGACTATTCATCTGTAATTCTGTAGCGCCAATAAATCTAGACAGTTTTCATTGTTTGCATTTCCTTTCAGCCCTCTTTGCAACAGAGTTTTATCCCAAAACTTTTGCCACAGCTGTGGTGCCTTAAGTGTATAGATTATAAACATACATGTATTGTAATAAGCATTCCTCAATGACAGTAGTTTTGAGGCAGGAGATGACAGTATGGGAGACATCCTGGCCTTAGGCTCACAACACATAGGGTACCTTCTGGCTCCTGGAGACCCCGAGGGCACCCTACTATCACTATATTTCCTTACTGTCTTGACATGAGCCTGAGAAATATGGTTCTACCCACACCACATTTCCTTAATATTCTGACATGAGTCAAACGTATGCTCCTACCTTTATCACCAGGACTGGAACAGGATCTATCACCTGGGCAACTGCAGTACAATGATTGAGGGTGGGGCATTTTCTGCTATGAAAGTACATGCCACAGAATGGAGCAAGTTGATCTCTGGCATGATCTCTGGCATGAGCCTGAGGGTCATGAGCTCTAATTACTTCATAGTAACTGAAAGTAACCCCATGGTCATTATAATGTCAATAACATTATAGTTTTGATGCCTTCTCTTTCTATTGGGCTTTGGCAGCCATCCTGGTTCCATCTAGCCCCATATAAATTCACAAACTCCCCCTCCCAATGTGATGTGGAGATGCTCAGTTAATTGGATACAATACAGTTAGTTACCACCTGTTATTGTTTGTGTCTAGATGTCCCCCAAAGGCCTCATACAGACATGCGGGGCAGGCTTTTCAGAGGTGACTGAATCTAGAGTTTGTGATTGATTCATGGTCCAATGCTGGGATTAAGGGTGTGAGTGCTACACTTGCCCTGGGGTGGGTAGCCTGCATGCAGTGTATAGGACAGAAACAGGCTTATTCTCCCTCGCCCTTGTTGCTTTTGCTGTCTTCTGCTCCCATGAGCTGTTGGCCCTCTGCCATGTGCCACTCTGCCTTGGAGCCAGCCGATTATGGACTGAAACCTCTACAAACTGTGAGCTAAATCAATCTTTCCTCCCTTATGTTTGGGTGTAACAACAAGAGAAGTAACTAAGATACCACCCCTGGCCACTACCCAAATCTGAGAAAAAAAAAAGAGAAGCAAATCCTGAAACTCATCTCAGTTGCCGTCTCTGGCTCTGCTGACCTCATTTTGAGGGTACACTTTTACTATTGACAGTTGTCACCTCTGAGCTCTACCTGCTTGGAACTCTGCCCAGTGTACTTTAACCTCAAACCTAAAACAATCATGGCCACTCTGAGCCACACCTGAATTTTGTCATGGACTTGCTCTGCTCTGTGAAGTGTACTTTTGTAGCAGGAAATGCCCCCACAAGCCATTATACGTCAGTTGCCCACGTGATAGATCCTAGTCCAGTCCTGGTTACTTCTGTCTCTTAGAAACGGTTGATCACTGTGATGCATAGCTGGTCACTATGATGCACATTGTATAAATCCATCCACAATTGACAAGCCATTCTGCTTCTGTTCTTCCATGTGCTTATCCCATATAAGCCCTAGACCACCAGAGATGAGGGCTTGATATTTTGGAAATGATCCCAATAAGTGCCCATTGACATAAATAAATCTGCCTCCAAATCCTGCATATCATTTCAGTGTTTCTGCTTGCCATTCCACCTGGTCCACTGGCTGGGAAGACTGACTGTGCTGACCTCTTTGGTCACTGGTCATGGCCCTCACAGACAGAGCAAGGACCTCTCCTGGTCCTGACAGGAAGGCACACCCTTGAGATTTCTCAAGTCTCCTTGGAAGCCTGCAGGAGGATTCCTGGCTCCCTGTTCAAGCAGCTCACATCAGACTCCAAAGGTAGTAGGACACAGAATGTCTGTCTGTCTGCCTGCCTGATTCCAGTAAGACTCTCAGAGGCACCCCAGTTAGTCTGTCAGTCCTGCTCAGCTCAAGTGTAAGGGGAAGCTGATGAACTCTTGTTAGTCAGGACCACCCTCGAGGGAAGAGGGTTGGAATGTTTAACCTCTGAGTGCCTGCTGAATGAATGTGTGAGTGAATGGAGTGAGCAGCATAAGCAATAGGCTGCTCCATCTGTGCTTGGGGAGCCCTGGTCATGGTGGCTGACTGACCCTTCACCTGTGGTTCTGTGGTGATCGACATATGGCATAAGGGAGGCCTCAAACCCTCCTTAGCTAAGTTGAACCTAAGTCCCTGAGCAGGGCATGGTCAGGCAGGCATCTGAAGGATCTTTCTCTATGAGGAGCACCACCCTTTGTGTGTTGCACCACTGTTCAAAGGTACACAACACACACACAGGAAGTCAGAGATGGGAATTAGTCAAAATTCACAGCCCCTACTGCAGGAAAAAAGGGCTTTTCTGAAGTTACAGAGTTAAAAATGAAACCAAACCACTGGAAGAAAATAAAAGGAAAAGGAGGCCCGTTTTTCCTGAGAATTTCACCTTGACACCTTTGTTGGCTGCTGTAGTTGCTGCCAACAGTTTCATTCCCTGCTCCTGACTTCTCTACTTCCAGCCTCTTCAACTGATTCCAGCGAGGCATTGCCTGCATTCAGCCATAGAGGCCCTCCCCCCGAACCTTCTGCTTCACAGCCACACCTGTCCTGGTCAGGTGGCATCCTCTAACACCCACCTGAGATGATGCTCAGAAATTCCTTCTGGGTTCTGAGAACCCAGAGTTTCCGACACAGAAACTCTCCTGCAACACCTGGCAGACACTGGTTACACGAAAGAAACTCCATGAATTTTTTGGAGCTGCTGGCTTCTATAGAATAGGGATCCTTGAATTCACAAAAACAGTGATGCGTACTCAGACTCAGTCCCTGGGAGTGCCCAGTGGCCGACCTGTGCAAACACACGGATCTGGTTGCTAAGGACCCTTCTCCTTTTGCTTTCATGCACTAATAGCCACCATCTTTCTGATGAAGAAAGCTGAAAGCTCATCTTAGGCTGAGACCTGACACTGTCCAGGTGCCACATGCTGTATGAAAGTAGCTGTGTTAGAAATGGAGTCCAGCAGGCTAGATATGCTGTGGTCACCAAGGGCAATGTTATTTTGGCCAAAGCTCTCCTGCTACTGCTTCCTGCTGCTGTTTGGAAACCTGCCACTAACGATGCCAGACCTGTCCCCCACCCTATATTCTGCAAGTTCAAGCCACTGTGGTGGTACCTGTACACAGGCTTCAGCATCTGTGTACTCCTAAGCCCCCTCCAGGAATCTAATTGACTGAAACATACATGCACCTCCTCAGGCTTGCCTGAGGCATTCCCTACTTTAGCTGAGAGGGCAACAAAATTTGTAGGGTCCTGCTGTGAAGGATCATCCCTAGATACGGCCTACCGTTGACTATTGGCAGCAACAACAGGCATGCATTTGTAACAGAGATAACTCAAACCTGGCAGAACTATACAACACATAGGCCACAAAGCTCTACCAGCTATACCTGTAAACATTCCTGCACATACACACAACCCAGGTATATATTAACTACCTCTACACCTTTCAGAAATCCAGCCTTAGATTCCCTGGAAAATTTACCTGGACCAGACAGCTCACTCTAAAGAGACAATGTACTCAAAGCCCTGCTCAGGTCACTCGGGATGCTGACCAATCTACTCATGGCTGAAGCGTGAGGACCTCATTCATAAGATTGCTCCATACCTATTGCCCTTGATCTTTGCGCTGCTTACCCCAGTCCTGGCTTCCCTGCCCCTCTGCTACCTGTGGCTTTTGCCTTAAACTAACTCCCTCGCTACCTTGCCAGAGTAATGTTACAGAACAGACAGGCTTAAATTATGTCTCTTTCTAAAAGTAATGTAGGAAAAAAACTCTGTAATAAGCCTAGGATCACTGATAACCCTAATGTTGCTGTTTCTATTTGGGCCTTATCTCAAAAGATAATACGTAATATGCCCAGTAAAGATTTGCCAAAGAAACTACAAACCATTCTGCCTCTGTACTTCCTGCTTGCTTATCTCATGTAAGCCTTAGACCTCCAGAGGTCAGGGCCTGATATTTTGGGAGTGATTATGTCAATATAAATAAATCTGCCTCCAAATCTTGGGTATTGTGTCAGTGTCCCTGCTTGCTGTAGCGCTTTCCTTTAATACATCTCCGACTTCCTTACTACTTTTATGTGCTCTGCTCAGTGCTTTGCTCAATATACAAAGGTCTTGGACACTGGGTGGGATTGAGATCAACTGTTCAATAACAGTTAGGCTCATTTTGGTGCTATGAAATGGATATAAAGTAACTAGAAACTGTTTTTGCTAAAGCTTATATTTGAAAAAGAGGTTTGAAAACTAATAGTTTCCTGGCTGTGGTTGGCCTGAAATAATCTATACCCAATTTTATTTGGGGGTAAGTGCTCTTGTGTAGCAAATATACTTCTGGCAGACTCAAAAAGTGAGTGTAATGTGAGGCTGCTCTTACATAAAAGGAAGCTTTTCCAAGTTGCAACCTGAGTATAAAAGCCAGAGCATTATAGCTGCTGGAAACAAAGAATCTTACAATGCATAGCTGGCTTCAGATCAACTGTGAAAAGACTGCTAACTTTCTAAGACAGCCAATTGGAGATGATCGGTAGCTTTGAAGGGCTGCTGTTTTATTTATATTTATTGATTTTTCTTATTTATTGAGAGGGCCTCACTATGTAGGGCAGGCTGGCCTTGTACTCATGGTAATCCTCCTGCCTCAGCCTCCTGACTGCTGGAATAATGGGCAGCTCTTTTAAATATGAAGAACAGCATGGAGAACCTGAAATAGTGATTCTCAACTTTAAGTGATCACAAACACTTTGAATACTTGTTAAAACTGAGATTCCTAATCTGCATCCACATGGAGTCTCAGTAGGACAGACACCTACATTTTACTGAGCACACAATAATGCCAAGTCACAAGTATGGGGCTATACTTTGCAATTCACTGGCCCTGAGCTTCAGATTAATAAAAGCAATGGGCAAGAGTGGTCTCAGACAGCAGATCTTGCAGGGAGAGTACAGAAGTAAGGAAACTGTGGTTTTTACTGGAGTGAGCCTTGAACCAGACTGAGATTGGGGTTTGGGGAAGGAACCTGGGACAAATGTGGAATCTCTGTGGAAGAAATGGTGGCAGTATTTTACAGCATATTGCTTGTAATACAAAACATCTAAAGGGCTTTTTGTAGCAAAAAAGTTCTGGGTTCACATGCTTTGGTGGAGTTTTTTCCACAGGAATGGTGGGTGACCAATATGGGGAAAACGGAAAAGAACCCTTTATCTTGGTGCTCCTGAACTTCCCTGGTCAAATCTCACAGGAGGTGACCATGTGTGCCTTAGAGCTTTCTCTGTGTATTGCTTCTGCGGGTTCCTTACCTTCAGGTATGTTTCTCCTCTCACTTCGTACAGGAACTGGCACTGAGTTCTCCTCAGGATGGCTATTGTGGAGCTGCTCATGTGAATCCTCAGGGCTGCAAATGCCAAACAGAGAAATGAAAATCTCATCTCTCGAGAGCTACAATACGGCTACATTTGCTTCCCCTTGAGTAAACACATCAACAGTGGAAGCAAGTATCCTAATCAAGGAGAAACCAAAATGGCTCTTTTAGTGTTGGGGCCCTTAAAACTAACATCTGCAAGGCCAGAAGTGTTATCACATAAGAGAAGGAAGAGGGTCTGGTTCTGGCATTGTTTTTCAGGGTCCAGAATGATGGCTCTCCTTGGGTTTTGTCCACTGAGTCTCATTTCTGTTTGCAGTGGTAGTCTCTGGGGCTTCAGTTTTGGATTAGGTTTGTAGTGTCAAGCTCAGGAGCTGGAATTTGGCTTTAGGTTCCCATGTAAAAATTCTTGTAAATAGTTCACATGCTAGGGGCAAGTCCTTGTAAATAGTTGGAACTTGACACCAGCGTCTTGATTTTTCTCAAGTTTTCCTCCTCTGGAATGCTGTAATCCTTCTAGAATGTAAGCATTGGGGGCACTCCCTCTCCTGGGTCCATGCTGTACTCTACCTTTCTCAACACGCAGCCCAAAAACCATACAACAAATAATAATGTCAGTAACTGGGAATAATGGCAACCCCAATGTTTACACCTACGATGTACCAGAAAATGGCTAAATGCTCAACCTAACATTCCAGTTCCTTCCAGCAATCCTCCAAGGAATGTTGATATCTCATCTTTAATTAATACCTTCCTATTTCTGAGACTTAAAAGATCAGGAAACTTTCTCATCAACTTACGCAGACAGTGCAATTTTAAGTCAAGTCTGTCTGACTCCCACCTTACTCTCTTCTTTGCACCATGATTTTCCAGTACTTACCAACATGAGAATGTGAACCAGCTCCAAAAATATCATGCTGCTGCTTGTGTTTTTGCCAGATCTCACCTCATCTACCAATACTTTTTCCCTATTGTATATTCCTATAACTATCATCAATACTTACCAAACACCTACCATAGGCAGCACACCGCTCCTCCACCTCACTAGACAGATACAGTACATTCCTTTGTATAGGTTAACTGCCTAGATTTTTTTCTTTACTAAAATTAATTCCTAAGAAAAACAAATGAAAGGGAAATAGGTCATTGGAGCGAGGGTGTATAGTCTATATGTACCCCGCTGGATTTTTAAAAAAACTTACAAATGCTAAATTTTAAGATTATTCCAGGAGAGCATGCCTGAATTCACTACAGATGAAACAAAAATATACAGTATAAAACTGAACATACAGGAAGAACAAAATAGTTATCACAAAATAACAACCACAAAAGCAAAAGGTAGTGAGGGCTGGATTGACATCGGCTCTTCCTCAGCTGATCTAAGGGATCTTCTGTATCTCACAGGCATTATGCATTTCCTTGCTGGACATTTAATCCTATGGTTGGCCTCTGCTGAAAGATAGAACCAGGGTCATCTAAGAAAAATACTCTTTTCTTACGGAGGCCAGTGGATTCCATCCTAGAGGCTGTGTTGACAGTATCTCCAAATAGGCAATAACGAGGCATCTTGATTCCCACAACTCCAGCAGCACAGGGACCTAGAATAAAGGACAGAAAGCTGGAGGAGCATAAACCTCTTCTCAGGGTCATGACTCCCCATTGCAGTTATCATACTACTATTTCACCATGTCCTCCGCAGTCCCTCCTTGTGCTCCTTCCCAACTTCTGTGTATTTTTCATTAAAATATTATAGTAGAGTGGGCTAGATTACACATGGGAAAAAATAGCTGGTCAAACTGTTATAATACTTGTACCTGCCGCACTGCAGTGGTATAGAAGGTACATAGGTCACCTCAAAGACGGTGACAGTTTCATAGTCCCTGTAAGAAAAGCTGTATGCTTCATGTCATGGAGAAATGGTGGAGCACATGGAATGTGAGCTTTTAGTGGATGCATCTCACCAGGGAAGCATCATTCTTCAAAGTGTGCCTTCAGAAAGCATTTTGCCCCAGCAAAGAAAATTTACACTGGCATTGAACAAGAGTGTGTCCAGATAACAAAATGGGACTACTTTGAATAGAAGGCTCTCAGGAAGGGTGAAAGTGATGTCACTGCTTGCTTATTACCACAAATCACATAACCCTGACTCTGGACCGCTGGAGGGCAGCACAGATCTGAAGGTTCAGTGGCCCCAGTATGGTTTATTTTTATTTTAAAGTGGTATTTGTGGGATTTGTAGTGTGAGGATGATGAGAGACCCACAGGAGCAGGACTTGCAATAATCCTCATTAAGAACTTCGTAGGCCAGGTGAATGACACGGGTTGGGGGAAGCCTACGGCACAAAGACACCCTATCGAGCAGAACCAAAGCTGAGACAAGCTGATGCCCTCGTGCATAGTAGATAGGAAAGAAGGGTTCTCAATTGGGCACTAGGTGGGGGGGATGACTGAATGCAAGGAGTTAAAGATTTCAGAAGTTGAAGGTTAACTCACAAACTGCAAACTTGGATTTTGGAGAGAAGGAATTATTAATTTCCTAGTTGGCTTAGTTGTTTTTGATGTGTATGAATCACTTTGTACATTTATCTTACCACCACTCTGTTTATTAACATTAAAAAAGGACACAAAATACTAGCTCTTCCCCTGAGTTCTGAACTCATCACTGTCAGGTTTGATGTAAAACAAAAGTAGACAAACAGACAAACAAATAAGCCCAAGAAAACCTAGAGAAGGGAAGGCACGGTACAGGCAGCTTCTTGATAAGACCTCTGAGCTCCCCCACCACACCACCTGCGTCAGTAGTGATGGGTCTGTACACAGGTGACTCCTTCAAAAACAGAGTGGAATGGCGGGAAGGGACAGTAGTATACAAATCCCCACAGACATAATATTTTATTCTCAGTCATCGATACCTTGAAATCATTGCGTTTTTAAAGACTGACAACACCTCCCCTCCATTCCATGTGCTTAATAGTTACTTGCATGGCAGCCTGGTGTGTCCTGGTTTAGCTCAGACACTGAGCAGGTCACAGGGGAAAGAGACCAGGCAAAGGTCCAGGGCTCCATGCTCCCTGAATGGGTTCAGTCAGTCCTGCTACTAACCCTTTCTGGCAGTTTGTGCTGGGCCAGAAAAGAGATAGTGTGTTAATCCCTGGCAGATGCCCAGGAAGTTACAGACATTTGGCAGTAGACATGATTGGGGAAGGCCACAACTATGTTCCTGACTTTTGAAGATATAGCAGCAGTCTTTAACTTCTATTTACTGTCACTTGGAGAACTTCATCAATTCATTATTCAATCAACAAACAGTTATTATCATGCTTGTGCTGGAAATTATAGACACAGGTTGACTTTAGCCAATATAGTTGTCTGGTCCTTGCCACAAGCCTGGGAGATCTTTTGGGTTTTCTGTACTTGGAGTCTTAGAACAGTAAGAAATTGTAGAGAAAACTAAATTCTTTTTTGCACGTTTTCTTTTTGGTACTGGGAGTTGAACTCAAGGCCTTTACACTGAGCTGCATCCCCAGCCCTCCTCCCTTTTTTAGTTTTAATTTTGAGATGTTTCACTAAGTCTGTCAAGTTACCCAGGCTGGGCTTGAACTTGCGAGCCTCCTGCCTCAGTCTCCCAGAGTGCTGGGATTACATGTGTATTCCATTATGCCTGACTGAGAGATGTGATTTAACACAAGGAAAAACTGCCTAACAATTACAACTTTTTAATGGAGAGTTTTCACGGGTCCTGGGATTATTTTAGAAGTGAATATATTATTACTTACCCTGGAATCTACAAAAATAATTGCCTTGCCAAGAATTACTGAAGATGACTTTTGAATTCCTTTCCAATTACGGTTTCTATGATTCTTGTAACTAATCAAATCTCTAGGTTCAATGCTGTTAAACTAAATTTGGTGAGGCTGCCTCCTACCTTGAAACTCTGTGTTAATAAGCTGCAACCTAACTTGTTACCTAAACCAACTGAAATATACTGTTGTAATGAATCACAGAAGTCAAGCTTCAGCCAATCACAAGCTACCCACTGATCATACCACACCCACATATGGCTAACATGGCACTGTTCCCAATCCAGTGGCTTCTTTACTTCATTTCTGTTTTCCTTCTATAGATACTGCCTGCCTACACTACCAGCTGGAGCATTGGGAGCCTCTTCTGTTTCTAAGTGCCATGGTCTGTGAATTACTCTTTGCTCAGTTAAATTCTATGAAGTTTAACTTGTCTAAAGTGACTCTGTCAACAAGGATATGAAACTGTCATGGTCTTTGAGGCAACCTCTTCTATACCACTGCAGTGTGGCAGGTAAAAGTATTATAGCAATTTAATCATTTTCAATTGACATTTTCAATGTCAATTTAATGACATTTTCCCATGGGTAGGTAATCTATCCCACTGCACTATAGCATTGTAATGAAAACCATACAGAAGTGAGGGGAGGTAGGGTCTGAGGAGGACATGGTGAAATAGTAGTATGGTAACTGCAATGGGGAGTAACGAGCTTCTTGTTTTCCTGTGTGGTTCATGTTCATCCATCCAAGAGTGAAAAATGCAGTTGAAGGTGTGTTCCAGGTGCCCTTTAGGAACTAGGTCTGACTGTGTCAGGATACGTAATGGTGCCCTACATTTGGCACACTGGATTGAAGAGTAAACCTCAGGGGAAAATCAACATCGGAAGCCCCTCTACCCGTTCTGATTTAGTTGATGCAAGAGGCACCAATGGTTCTGTTTGCTAAGATTCGTCTCTACATACCAGAGTGAACTCCAATGCGAATCCATACTGGGAGGCCAGGAAGATGCTCCAGTTCAAAGGTTCCTATGAAGCTGAGGATATCCAAAGCCATCTTGGAAATGTCTATTGCATGCCGATTGCCATTTCTCATAGGCAAACCACTAGCTACCACGTAGGCATCTCCAATGGTTTCCACCTGGGGAAATACTTTCTCATCAATACCTCTCATCATCTGAAAGGCATGGAAACTACACAGAAGCACTTAATAAATAACACGCATCAAATACAAAAGATCTTTTGGGAACTTGGTATGAACATAGTTTACACATTGTTCTGGTGTCAGTTTAAGACTAGTTCTATGCTGATTTCTTCAGAGTTTTTATAGTCTAGTTAAACGGATGATAAAATCGCTATAAAGTATTTCATAATAATATAAATTACACATGTGATGATAACTCTATAAATGTTTAATCGGAGTACTTTTATGTAATTTTAGGAATGCTCTCCTCTACTGGAAAGGTAGTCTTCAGTCATCTTTACCATTTTCTATATATTATTTGACCAAAAAATAACCATAAGCTCATCTAAGACATAAGATGGATTCTATTTATTATAACACTAGTGTAGTCACTGCTTCATTTGGAATTACCCTAAATATTGTTCGTGTTGTAGAGGTGATTGGAGAATATGCCACTTTCTCAAAATTCAGTGGTCAAAATTCATTCCTACTGAAATTTCTCTTTTGCGCTGGCTCTTAAAATTAAGTGGCTATTGTGACATTTGACCCATCCAATTCTTCCACTTCTCTTTCCATTTTAGGTCAGACTTGACCATAATTAATTAAATGTTAAATTAGGACAAGAAGAACAAGACCACCCAGCCCAGGCACTGATGAGCTTGGGCTGTAAACCTGTTTGTGCCTGAGAGGGGGTGACACAGTTACCTTGTAGACATCATGATGATCAACAATCTGGTCAAAACTCTTGTAGAGGTCATTAAGCATGTCCACCACTTCCATGGGGGTGCTGTATTTGCAGATCGTAGTGAAACCTACAATGTCACTGAAGTAGATGGTCACTTCCTCATAGAGTTCTGGCTCTACAATACCTTTTTCCTTCAGAGACTCTACCACCAGCCTAGATTAGAAAGGAGGGAAAAAAGAATGCCTTCAATTTTAGTCAATTTTTCTTGTTTTACATAAATGTTTCAGATAGTAATAACTGTCCACCAGGTATTCAAGAATTTTTTTGGAGATAAGTTGCCCAGTATGACCAGAACTTGCAATTGTCCTGTCTCAGCCTCACAGGTAGCTGGAATTACAGGTATGTGCCACCATGCCTGATAGGAATTCAATAATTCAAGATTTCCAGTGAATGCCAATGAAGCAAAGATGGATTGCAAACACTGTATACACGCACACACATATGACATGTATTTGAACTCAGATGAATATAAACATGTTCAACATTAACTTAATATTTAATTATTAATTCTAATGCACATATATAACTATAATATTTACATAATCCTAATACATACATGTACCTGACATTTTTGACCTTGCTACTGATAATCAAATTCTTAAAATATAGCTCCGTATCCAGAAGCAGAGGCCAGTGTGTCATTAATGTAAGAGTTGGACTCAGCAGAGCTATCAAATATGGCTTTCACATCAAAGTTGGCAGTTTTTCTTCCCTGGAATATTAACCTGGTATTGTTTAATACCACTGTGGAGGAACAATGCAACTAAATTCATTTTGACAACTCTTTTACAGGCAAAGGTAACCACCACAGGGAGATGTCAAAACTGTGGTTAAAGTGTAGAAGCCTAAAAAGAAGCAATCTAGAGTGGCTTTGCTGAAGAGCTACGAGGACCAGCACGTCAGGAGGAAGTTAAAAGTGCATCCTTTAGGGATGAGACCACCCTTCTCTGGGGACCCAGCTGCCTTTCCATTGAGAAAAAGGCGTTGGCACTGACATGCAGCTGGATGCGCTGTCTGCCCCTAGGACCACTTGGGAATGGGCCGATTCTGGAATCACTAGAATCAGAACCGAAAGCTGGAGGTGCCACAGAGATCCCTGAGAACAAAAGCCTTATTTCTACAGATGAGAAAGCTAAGGCTCATAAAAGAAATATGAATTTCATAGCTCCCAAAGCCCACTAAGGACAGGGTTGGTACTGGACAGCAGTTGCCTAAGATGACAGACAGTAAAGGTGGCAAAGAGGCATCGGAGCCCTGGTTGTCTAACTGCACAGTTAAACGCTGCTCCCATGGCACCACAGGCACTGGAAATAACCTCTTTCTTCTGGGTGCTCAGAGTACAAATCCAAGCGAGACTTACCAAGGAACACACATTTTAAAATCCAACAGTCTGGTGAAGAATATTCAAAAGGAAACAATTCTAAATAGATACAAATAAAACAAAGTACAACAACAATCCTAGGCAGATATGCTGAAGATTTCAGCCTTAAACCACAAAGCCTGGCTGTGGAATTGTGGGAAACTATATCCCAGGGAAGACTGGCCTTACCTTGGCAGCAACATAAAGTTAAGTCTGTCAGCTCTGTCCCTCTCTGCCTTGTACAGCTGTGTCCTTTCCTCTACCAGATGTTCCAGGTTGCGGGAATATAGTTGTAGACGTCGGATCAAGGTATCCATGTAGGATTCATTTTTCTGGTCGTGAAACAGGCTGTAGGAAGTAATAGATAAAGAGCTCTTACACATTATCAAGAAAAATGAACACTCAATGGAACAGTGGACACCTATGCATTGGCTTTGTGTTGTGCCTTCAGAGCAGGGAATTGAACAAAGAAATTAAATGTATACCTGAACATAAGAAACTCAACCTTAGAAGAAAGCAAAGAAATAGAAATAAATGTTAAAAAAAGAGAAAAACAAATGTTAGGATGATGATAATCAACATGGAGGAAGGAGGAACTGTACACAGTAGAACTTTCCCAAACAGTGATCTGGTAAAATTATATCACAAGTTTTAAAAATACTTATTACCTGTCTGCTGATCAACTCAACTTCTAAGAATTATCCAAAAGAAGCCAGGCCTGGTGGTACATGCATGCCTATAATCCTAGCACATGTGAACCTAAGACAGGAGTTCAAGGCTAGCCTGAATTATATAGCAAGACCCTGTCTCGAAAAACAAAACAAAAGAAATAAACAACCAAAAAAATCCAAAGGAAGCAACTATGAATGTGTTTAAAGTGATCTACAAGGAAAGCCACAACACTGTTTATAAGAGCAGACATTAGAAAATAACCTAAATGTATAACAGAAACATATCTTAAATCTTATGTAGAATGAATTTTATGGATTATAAAATACAAAGTAGAATAGTTAAATACACAAAAAGATGCTCATACTAAGTGAAAAAGTTGATAAAAATAGCAAAAATTATAATCCTAAATTTATTTATTTTATGGTACTAGGGATTGAACTCAGTACCATAAAAAGGTGCTAGGCAAACACTCCATTACTGAACCCTTTCTACATTTTTATTTTGAGATAGACTCTCACTAAGTTTCTGAGATGGGTCTCAAACTTGTGATCTTCCTGCCTCTGCATCCCAAGTAGCTAAAATTAAAGGTATATCACCTCGCCCAATTCAAATTTTATTTTTTGAAAACTGGCAATCATGTACTTGAATATAAGTATTTTTACTTTCTTGGTTGCTTGTTCATATTTTCTAAAATTTTAATAATACATAATTTGCAATAAAAATCTTTGGAAAAATAATCTAGAAGTGTAAATGGAAACATAAGAAAAAGACCAAGGAAAGCAATGCCGAACCTCATATTATCTCCTCAGAACAGAGAACCAGAGTCCTAAAGCAAAAAACCCAACTTTGGATTTCTGGGTTAGACCACGAAGGCACTGATGAGACAGATGCGGATTGCGTGTGGCACTGTGATGTCTGATAAGCCTGGTGCGGAGCACGGTGAGGAGACACAGTGAGTTCTTACAGTGCTGTGTGTACCACAGATAGTGTTCAGAACCCATGAAGGGTTCACAATAGGAGGTGCTGAATAAATCAGGGCCAAATCAGCACGACAGTAACAATGACAATTACATTAACAATTATAAGTTGCTGCTCTACTCTCAGGAGGAGATGGCTCAGACCAAAATCCCCAGTGTGAGGAGGAATGTGTTTTTTTTTTTTTTTTTTTTTTTTTTTTTTTTGGTTTTTCTCTGGTACCAGGAACCGAACTCACGACCTTGCGCTTGCCAGGCAGGCGCTTTTGCCGCTGAGCTAAATCCCCAGCCCCTAGGAGGAATGTTATTAACAGTCCAATACATTTCTGAGTCCTATCTGAGACCTATATGAGTGCAAATTTCTAGGCTTGAGGTTAAAAAATAGAATTTCTTTTAACATGCTCCCAGGCTTTGGCACCTGGCCCCACTCAGAGAGGCCAGTTGGGTAGAGTGGGTGAGTATAAGGGGCAAAGATGGATTGTTGTACTGCATGGTGCATTGATTCAATTAAAACAGTCTTCCCAGCCTGGACTGTCTAGCTTAATCACATGGGGAGGTATTAAAACTCCTGCTGCACCTCCACTCTAGCCCAGTTACATCGGATTCCATAGGCGGGATCCCAGGCTTCTGTATTTTGCAAGCTCCTCCTGTGATTCCACCCTGCAGCTAGGTTTGAGAATCACTGCATTGCAAGCTAGTGGTGGAAGCTCAGTTTATCTTCATGAGTTTACATTTCACTTGCACTGTACAATCTCATCTGATTTTTGTTTTGTTTTGTTTTTTTTTTTTTGGACCAGGAATCAAATTCACAACCTCATGCTTGCCAGGCAGGCGCTATGTGGCTGAGCTCTATCCCCGGCCCTCATCTGATTTTAGTAACAGGTCTGTGAAGGAGCGAGAAGGGGAGAGAATTAAATCCCTTCTACTTCTTGTTCTATTTGCACAACTGATGCCTTAGTTCTACTAACTAATGACCACTCTCTTATTAACTTCCTGCCATCTCATCTCCGGCCCCAGGCTTTCAGGTTCTTTAAGTGCCTGAATCTTTTGCCCTAATGAGAACTAAGAAAGGAAGAGCTGGAAGGAAATGTAGAAACCATCTTGTTCAATCGAATTTCACTAATCAGAAAATTGACACCCTGCACGCGAAAGTGTTTTGCCCCATGTCCCAGAGCAAGCTATTACCAGCTTCTAGTGTGGAAATTTGGTTTCCTAACTCCTAATTTAGTGTTCTTTCTCATCTGTACTGTGTTAACTGAAAACATGGGACATCTAGAATTCAGTCTTGCTGGATAATTGTGTGCTTTTTTTCCTTTCACCCTGAATTATACACTAATTCACGACACAAATCTTAAGGACCTAGGGTTAAAGCTGGTGATTTTAAAATCTTAAGAATTATCTAGGGGTTTTACAGATTTGTCAGGACCCATGTTAGTCATCCAAGTCCTAATCACCTGTGGAAGCATTGGAAAACTGTATTTTTAATGGAAACTTTGATGATTGGTCAGAATTTATTTTTTTTAACCAGACAACTTTTGACCTTGAGTATTTAACTTTCCAAGTGGTTAAAGCCCCTAGAAAATGGTCAACTTCCTCGTCTTTTAATTTTGCTGTGACAGGTGTTGGCTATAGCCTAGGACTTTTCTTTGGAAAAGACATCCTCATTCTCTGGTGCCACTGGGTGCCAACTATCACTGAAAAATTCAAAATTCATGAAGAAAAGTGAAAACATCAGCAGTACCCAAACATCTTGGCCAGCGTGCTCTCAATTTTCTTGAAATCTGGTCTCTTTTCTGGATCTTCCTCCCAACAGCTTTTTACAAGTAGGTACACCTGGAAGAAGGAAAGGCCAATTAGTTCAAGGATGGTAACTCAGTCGTGATAGACTCCGATCCTATCCTCCATTTTAAGGGTTATGAGGCAGGGAATATTCTAGAAATATCTCCAAGTCTGACAATGAGGCTAAGTCTCCAGCCACCCTTTTGGGTGATGCTAATGAAAAATGTGATACCAGCTTGGGTGAGGTGGGGTTGATGGGAGAGAGCAAGGTGCTTTACAGGAGGGTACAAGGTTTATGTTGGAGAGGTCAGGAAACAATAGGGCCTGGTGAGCACGAGATAAATGACTGTAAATGACAGTAAAAGCTCAATGTCAACCGTTCTCTAGCACAGCCAGCAGAATTGCCTGGGGAGCATATGTGAAATCTGTCATATCCAGGTCCTTCCCCCAAGAGATTCTGATTTAATTGTCTTGTGAAATGGCCTTAGTAGGGTTTCCAGATTTAGTGAATAAAAATACCATCTTGTATGGTGAAGCTCTGCATCATTTCCAATTTTTTTTTTTATTACTTGTTACTGTCTTTGATTATTTGATCAGTCTTACATTGTTACGTCTAGTGGACTGAGTCATTTTGTTGAAGATAACAGTATGTAATGTAGCAGCCATTGTTAATCCCCATCATTTTGTTTTGAGGTCATGTATCGCTTTTGTTGTTTTTGTGTTGTTTTGTTTTTGTCTCCATTGTTGTTGTTCTGTTAGGTTTTTTCTCTTTAAAATATAGTAAATAAATAAAAAAATAGAGTTTAACCCAGTTAAATGTGAATTTCAGATAAACAATGAATGATACATTAGTACAAGTACATCCCAAATTTTGCATGGGCAAATGGCAACAATGTGTATATTTTAAATTCTCCACGTGATTGCAATGCAGGTGCAGTGGAAGAGTGATGGGGAAAAGGGAGATGGGGTGTGAGAGGGAGAACTGGGAGCCCTCATCTCATCTCATCTCATCTCATCTCACCTCACCTCATCTCATCTGCTACCCATGTTTGAAGTTTTTGTTTGACCAAAAAGGAAGTTGAAAACTCGTTTTAAATACAGTTTGTTCTTCGTTATGGCTGAAAACAGGCCTGTAAGTGGTACAATATGCAATCTCTGTGTACTTGGCTAAACAGTTCCCCTGCAAGGACCAGAGCCACAGCATAGCCTGTGCTCACTACGAGGTGATTGCCTTCCTGTGCTAAGGAATGCGGCAGTTACACTAGGTTATCTGCATGGGCCCAACGCAATCACTCGTCTATGTCCTCGTAGGAAGAAGGTAGAGGGAGAACAGAACAGGAGAGTGGATTGGGTCCAACTGGCAGAGTCTGGAATGTATGGCCACAAGCCAACAAATGTCAACAGCCACCGGAATCTCTCAGAGGAGTCCAAGAATAAATTATTTCCTTACAGCCTCTGGACCGAGGCTGACCTTGCCAATAACTTTACTTCAGACTTCTAGTCTTCAGCACACTGCTGTTGCTTTCACCCACACCTTTCTGGTAAGCTGTTACAGTGGATAAAAGAAAGGAATGCAGGGAGCATGTACTCACTTCCAGCTCCTTCTCCTCTGCTGTTTCCAGGAACAGATCTGGGCGGAAGGGTTTCAATCCATCAGAGTTCTCCACTCTGAAAATCTTCTCTGATTAGAGGAGAATAATTAAATTACAAGAGAGAACCCAGCGTGAAGAAGCTTCAGCAGAATCTGAGTTGGTTCACTTCCTGATGGTTCTTCAGCCCGGTAAGAGTGTTTCAGAGCTGAGATCAGCTCTCAGTGGATGTTGAATGAACGAGCCATGGAGAGTCTTATTCCACCTCTGACCAGGAAGTTACTTTAAGGTGAGATTCTAACACCTGAAAACTCAACTCCAACACCACCTTCAGTGGGCTTCCTGTGCTCCATACTCTAGCGCCTTCCTCATATCCCTTAGTCATCCTTCTACCCAAGACAGTTAAAAGCTGGCACATAATAAATGTTCAATAAACAAAGACTGGATGAATGGAACAATGCATTTTCCTCTGAAAAGATGTGATTTAAAAAAAAAACTGTAATTCTTTACATAAAAGCCAAAAATACATGCGTTGTCTTGCTACAGTGACCTACTTGAAGTATTCAGCAAACATATTCTCTTCTTGGAATCAGGAAGAAAAAGCCACTGATAAACAGTACTGTCTGGCAGTGTACATTGCCTTGTGCTGTTCAGAGAACCCTAACGCTTAATCTTCCCAATGCCCTTGTGAAATTGTAGTGCAGATGAGAACTTGTTGCGTTTGAGGGTGAGGGCCCTGAGACACTGTAAGGACAAAATCATAGAATAGCAAAGACATAGATATTTTATAGCAAAGGTTAAATATCAGTTAATGGCCTATGACTATGTTCCTGCTGCTTGTCACACAGCTAGCCTGTTAAATTCAGTCAGCCTTGCTGCCTCTCTTTGATAACGTGCTGGGCCAACTTGACAGTGTCCAGCTTGTGTTTTCCTTAGAAAAATGTATTTTGTTTCCAACTTGCTTCAAGGACTTCATGTCTGGGTCAGACCGACCCAGTCAAGGATCCATTTAATTCTATTTGCTCTGCTCACACCCCTCCCCTCCTTCCCAGAATGTCCCTACCTTATGATAAACAATTCCTTTTAAGCAAATCTATTTTCTTGACAATATATGACTCAATGCATGTAGCCAATCATGTAATAACCTTCCATCAGCCTTGTACTTCCTGCTTGCAATCTGTATTTAAAATGAACTCTAAGCTGATTCATGGTCTAGTGATTTGGAACTGATTCCCACCAGCCCACTAGCATAATAAAAGTGCAAAGAGTCTTCCATTTGGTTTGATATTGGTTTTTCTGCAACAGTGTGATGACCAGGAAACCAGGGGCTTGGTGAAGGCAGCTTGGCCAGTTCCCAGCTGGGGCAGATGAGGGGTACCTACTTACCCTTCTGGTCCCGGCAGCTCAAGGTGTAGAAGGTTTCCCTCCTCAGGATGATCTCCTGGGCGACAATCCCGAAGCTGTACACATCTCCTTTCTGAGAAATGTTGGCCTGGCGCAGGTGCTCAGGGGCTGTCCACAGGTCTGTGCATTTGGACATCGAGGTGGCGAAACCAAGGGAGTGAGTGGTCTGCGGGCCTCTGGCCTGCTTTTTCCTAAGTTTGTACTATCTGCCCTGAATGCTGGTGACCTTGGGTTAAAATGATCCCCAACTTTTGAGGAATTGATACTAATTCTAGAGATAGGAGGTAGAATACATACTTACCTTTGAAGCTAAGAAATTGCAGAATTTGACTGAGGTCATATGGCAAGACGGCAGCCCTGAAAACCCCCTCAAGGTCTGCCCAGAAGAGGGTTTGGTATATAGTAAGTGTTCAGTAAATATATGTGGAATGCGGATTATAAGATACTAAGGAATTTAATAGCTGATGGGACATATAGAATAAACCTATGAAAGCTTTCATGAATAAGTAAGTGTAAACATACATATTAAAATGTATTTGAAATATGTATTTTATTATTTAAATAATTATAATTTATTACTTATATACCTGTTTTATTTACAGTACTAGGGATGGAACTCAGGGCCTTTACATCAAGCTATATCCCTACCCCTTTTTATTTTATTTTGAGATGGATTGCCTGAGACAAGATCCTGGTAAGTTGCTCAGTTGTCTAGGCTGGGCTCAAACCTGCCATCTCCTGCGTTAGCCTGCCGGAGAACAGGGATTAAGGGCCATGCCGTCACACCTGGCTACTTATATGCATCTCAAGTAAAGGGTTACTAGAAGAAGATAAATACAGCACATCTGAACAATAGGCTTTCAATGATATTTCCATCATAATGTACTGTCAGTAGAGGCCAATGTTTCCAGCAGTATTTTCTTAGGTTTTCACTGTATTTTTAGAAGATATAATGCATGTACTTTACTCACATTTTACTATGTCCTTGCCACTCTGAGGCTTTACATCTTGTCTGCTTCCCACAAGTGACATGCCCGTGTCCTGTGCTTAGTTCCTACCAACACTTGTATTTTGCGTTCCCATTACATATCTTCTTTAGCAGTGACAGTGGCACGGAATTCATTTTCCTTCAGCATCCTTGGGATCACCTCACCTCTTGTAAGCATTTTAATGTTTCTATTGTCAGCGGTTTTGGTGAACACTCTATAGACTTCACGTTGTGAGGCACAGTGATACATGCATGAGGAAGCATTTTGGATGTGGTTCTCCATCCAGAGGTTGCCTTTTTCAATTTCTGTCTTGTGAGTATTTGTGATTTGAGATCTATGTACCATTGACCCCAAAGATCTACAATTGTTGAAAAGGTTATTAGGTCTACTTATGCCAAAACCTTGGGTATACGACATCACAGATGGTACAACTCAGTGATACTCAGGAGGGCAGGTGTTGACCTGCAGTCCCTCTGACTGTGTCATGCAGAGTCATCTGAGGAAGGGGCCTGTTTGTTACATAGTGAGTCCAACTTGGCACACAGTAGGTCTTCAACAAGAATTTATTGGATTGAGTCTCCTATCATCTTATACTTGACTGGAAGTAGAGGTGGAGTTGTAATTTTTCTTTTATCAGAAAAAACTAAAGATTGTAAGTGGGATTAGAGTATAGTTTTAGGATCTAGTGCTATTTCAGGACAGCAGGGATTTCTGAGGCTATTAAAGCATGATTTACAGTAAAGAAAGGCTAAACATTCAGCCTGAAAACCCCCTTTACTTATAAATCACATTACTTCATACAACATCGCCCTTCTTAACCCTCACCAGAATCTTGAAAGGGATAAATAAGTTTACAGAGAAGAGTTTTTTTGTGTCTTCTGACCAGAGGTGAGTGAATGCTGTCTGGAATAGGCCATGCTTTATGTTCTAGCTTCTTGGATAAAACTCTTAGCTTTTTCCAGTCTCAATTCTACGAAGGAAACACATTAAGCTGGGTGATTTCCAAGGTCTCCCTCAGCCCTGATCTGTACCTTTGCACCCTATTTTGTCTCCACAAGCCAATAGTTCTTCATATTTCCTCACTGGTACAAAGGATGCACAATAGAGCACTGGGGAAATGGTCCTTAGTTGACATTGAGGGTTTTTTTTCATTTATTTTTTCTTTTAAATTAACATATGTGTATGCTACATACTAGTTACACCCATCTTGGTGAATTGCTGTATATACTTATTGCACCTTGATCCTTTTTGTTTTCCTTTGCCTTCCTCATTCTCCTGTCTCCCCCTCCATTTTCAGGCCCCCTTGCCATCTCCATGAAGTCTGTTTTCCTGTTTCCTATCATTTATCTTTTATTTTGCCCTTTGAATTATTAATTCTTTGCAAAGTATAAGACAAACCTTATGATACCTAATGTGTCTGCTTTATTTCACTTAGCATTATGATCTCAACGTGTAACCATTTTTCCATGAATAACTCAAATTCATCCTTCTTAAAGGATGAGCCCTACTCCGTTGTATGTATATAATACAGCATTTTCTTTATCCATCTGTGGATGGGCCTACAGGCCACTTCCAGAGTTTAGCTATTACGAGTTGTGCTGCTATAAACATGGATATAGATGAATCACTGTCATATGATGACTTAACTCTTTTGGGAAGATACTTAGAAGAGGAATAGCTGGGTGAAATGAAATTTCTAATTTTAGTTTTGGAGGAATCTCCATAGCAGTTGTACTAGTTTACATTCCCACCAGCAATGTAGAAGGATTCCTTTCCCCAAAAACCTTGCCAGCATTTGTTTCCTGAGTTACTGATGGTAGCCATTCTTTCTGGCATACCATGGAATCGAAGTGTGAACATGTGTTTAACTGAAGATGCGCTCTATAGACAAGTGGTCCTTGCAGTAGAATGAACTAGAACTTTGCCTCAGGGGCTTCAAGTAGTTGTTTTCTGGTCTGTGTCATCACTTTATGAGCTTGCTATATGGGCTTGAGAACAATTTATGAAACAAAAAATCAAAACAAGTGGGAAAGTAATAAAAAGTCTATCCATTACAGACCTTTTCTTGGAGGCAAAATGGAATTGCAGCCGAAGTCCGTGATCTTCACTACCATTCTGCTGTCTACGACGCAGTTGGTGGATTTCAGACGACCATGGACTTCTATCTTACTGGAGTGCAGATATGACATCCCCTGAAATTTTTCAGATGACAGGAAAACAAAGAGATGGGAAACACTTTAGCTGCTTGATTATTTATTTATTTATTTATTTATTGAAACAGGGTCTCGCTATGCAGTTCCAGCTGGCCTTGAGCTTACTTTGTAGCCCAGGCTGGCCTCAAACTCGCAACGATCCTTCTACCTCAGCCTCCCGAGTGCTGGGATTACAGGTGTGTGCCACCAGGCCCAGCTTGCTTGATTGTTTTAAATAAATGTCATTTTGAAGCTATTTCGGCATATATCAATATGATATATGGTCACATGATGCAATTTTAAATTCAGTGCCGTTATTTTTACTTTAAAAATATTGCTAGAGCCATAGCATTTGCTTATATATGTGAAGCATATTTAGATAGCACTGCAAAAAGTCAACTGTCTAAAAGCTCTGGTTAAGTAGTTGTATATTGTGTAAGGCATAGGGTTTTTTGTTTAAGTTTCTTCTTACAGAGTATTTGCTCTGTGACCCTGCATATATCTCTGGTCCTCTGCTGGTTCATTTTAATGTAAGAGTAATAAGTCATTGCCTTTCTGAAGAGAGTTCTTGGCTAGATTATTTCCTAAAATTGAACGGGTTTCATGCTATTTTGAAAGAGAAGCTTTTCACTACTTCAGCTTTAAGAGGACGTTGTTTTTGGCTGGTGTGCTGCCCTCTAGTGGCGAGAGTTATCACAACCTGAACAGAGTTTAACCTGAATCACAAAAGGGCAAAGTGTGAGGCATATAGGTTACAATAATATTTGTTTGAACAGATTTAAGACTGTATAAAACAGCTCCCTCTCGAGACTAGTTCATCTTATTTCTTGAAAGGGGCTTTTATTACTGGTTCCTGCTTCCTTTTTCGTACCGTGTGTGGGCATAATCGTGTCCAAATTTATTATTGCCTTGTGCAAGATGGTTGCCCTTTCCTCATTTTTTTTTTTTTTTTTTTTTGGTTTTTCTCCGGTACCGGGAACCGAACTCACGACCTTGCGCTTGCCAGGCAGGCGCTTTTGCCGCTGAGCTAAATCCCCAGCCCCAGAAAAATAACCATGAGGCTTTTATACGTTTTTGTTTTTTTTTGTTTGTTTGTTTGTTTGTTTTTCTCCGGTACCGGGAACCGAACTCACGACCTTGTGCTTGCCAGGCAGGCGCTTTTAGCCGCTGAGCTAAATCCCCAGCCCTCCTCATATTTTCCTTTATAAAGTTGAAGATTCAATTATCTTCTTGGAAGTTTTAGATTATTTGATGTTTGGTAAATCTATGAAAGTGTGTGCCCCACACCCAGAAAACAAAGAATATAATAATATAACCAATTTTACATTGAACACTGCAACTACATTGAACATTGACTTGTACCAGGTCTTGTAAGTAAGCCACCTGTATAATTTTTTTTTATGAAAATCCTCACGTGTGATAGAGCTACTATTATTATAGTTTATCAGATGAAGAAACCAATGTACAGTGAGGTTGAATTACTTGCTGGATCTAATTTAATTTTCATAAAGGATTATTTTGTATTCATAGGTCTCTCTCTTACCTTAGCAATGTCATACAAGACAGAGATCTTAAACTCCCAATCCATGAATGTGCCATCAGGGTAGGAAATTGTGTCATTTAACACTTCCTGAGTAGGAGAAAAAGAGGAACAAGGTGAGTTGTGGTGAGGGAGGATTTTGCGGAGAGACTGTTATGAACCAAATAATGATTTAATCTTGAGGCTTGAGGATCAGGAACAAATGATAGCTTCCTGGTCCTACTTATACCAATACCATCACGTATTGGTGTGTTTATAAACTGGCTTTCTGAAAAACAGCCCAGACCTAGTACACTCTGATTCCCACGGTGTAATGTTCCCACTCTAGGTGATCTCAAGACACCAGGAGCTTAAAACTAACTGCAAATTCCTGAACACTTAACTATCAGCTCTGAGCTAGTACAAAGGCAGTACCTCTTATCTGAAATACTTGGGCCCAGAAGCTTTTGATAGTTCAGATGTTTTCCAGGCTGTGGAATATTTGCATATACATGATGAGATATCTTGGAGACGGGACCCAAGTCTTAGTTGAAAGGAAAATTTTATACATTATGTTTAATGCAAGTGCAATTTCACCGCAATCTGTTAAATGAGATCAATTGTGTGATTTCCCACCTGGGGGTATCGTGGTGGTGTTCAAAAAGTTTCAGGTTTTGGAGCATATGAAATTTTCAGATTAGAGATGCTCATCTTATTCCCATACACCATTGATTTCTATCTGAGAATTTAACTTTAAGCTCTGTTAAGATTTATTTGATATCTTAGGGAATTTTTATAATACCCTCCCAGTACTGGGGATTGAACCCAGGGCCTTTACACTGAGTTGTGTCTCTAGCCCTGTTTATTTTTTGAGACAGAGTCTTGCTAAGTTGCACAGGCTGGTCTTGAACTTGAGAAGCTCCTGACTCAGTCTCCCAAGTAGCCGGTATTATAGGCATGTGCCACCATGTCTAGCTAAGTGCTCTTTTATGGCTTTTTGTATTTCATGTTAACAGCATTTCACTACTCTGCCATAAAGAGGGGTATAGTTGAGTGATTTCTCAGAAAATGGACACACCTAAGGTCATGCTATTGAGTAGAATAAATCAGACACTCAAGCTTCTCTCAATGAGAAACGCAAAGTATAAATAAAGAGCAAAATAAAAGACAGATAATAGGATACAGGGAGATAGATCTTTTGCAAATGGGGACGGGACTGAGAGATGAGGGACGGAGAAAGGTGAGGGAAAGGAGATGACAAAAGAATTAAGACGTGTTATACACATATGTGAACTCCCCATGAGGCATGTAATTGTCATGTACTGAAAAAAATAAAAATTGCAAAAGGGGATTTTTTGAGTTGTGTTTTCTAATTCTGCTTGTATATATGATTTATAAATTTTTTCTACTTATTTTGTATGTAGTCATCATGCTACACTTTTGTAACTTTTTTCATTTGAAATAGATAATCATACAATCCTTAAATAAAAACTTAATTGCTTTTGGTTGTTGTAGACTTTATTTCTGTTTTATGCCTGAGAGGTTGGGTTAGAATGTTAACTAACAGTAGTGTGGAAGGTGGGGATGTGGAATTCTTGATTAGTAAGGAGGGGGTCAGTCTTTATGACAGATCATCTTTGCTACTTTAAGGAAATATTATTTTATTCTTTTACTCTTTACTAACAGTCATTTTTTAGGGAGGCACCTCAGAAGATTTCTGAAGCTAAACTGAAGGGTTCTCTGATATATCACCACTTGATCACTTTTTCCTTCTTGGGAACACGTGATGAGTATTCATCCCTATAGCCTCTTTTCTGAGCTAGTTTTACAGCCCATTTCATACAGGTTCTGCTCTGTGCTCCCTTATCAAAAGGTCTGCCTTGATGGTCATATCTTTTTTTAGGGGGGCAAGTTCTCACTATGCACCCCTGGCTGGCCTTGAACTCATGGCAATCCTCCTTCCTCAACCTCCTGAGTGCTGGGATTACAGGCGTGTGCCATCATGCCCAGCTTTGGGTTTTTTGTTTTGTTTTCTTTTGTTTTGAGACAGGTCTTGCTATGTAGTCCAGGCTGGCCTTGAACTCACTAGATAGCCCAGGCTGGCCTCATATTCATGGCAATCCTCCTGCTTCAGCCTTCCAAGTGCTGGGATTACAGACATGTGCCGCCATGCCCCACTGGGTGATCCTATTTTAAACAGCAACTTCAGGTCATTGTCTTCCCTTCATAGCATCTGGCATATTTTATATTTTTGTTTATTTGTTGTCTTTTCTTTCTTTGAAAAAAATGTAAACTCTGTGATAATTTTGTTCACTGCTATCTTTGTAACAGTGTATAATTGATGTTTAATGAACATTTGTTGCATGAATCAATCGATAGTTCTCAAACAAGGTTAGTCAAAGTCATTGTATACTGTTGTCCCTCAGTATCCGGAGGGTCCTGATTCCATGACATCAGGGATACCAAAACATGCAGATCCTCACAACCCAAATGTACAATGGCTTAGTATTTACACATGGCCCATGTAATCCTCCAGTATACTTTATATCACCCTTAGGTGACTTACAGTACCTAATACAATATAAATGCTATGTGAATAGTTGCCCCACCATGTTGTTTAAAGAATAATGGGAAGGAAATGCCATTATCTTATACATGGTCAGTACAGACACAACTTTCTTCCTGAACATTTTCCATTCACATTTGATTGAACTCATGGGTGGGGAACCCATCTATATGGAAAGCTGACTGTATCAGGAAGTGTGCCGTCTTAAATTTGTCCATAGACAGACTTTCTCATTTGTGTCTCGATGTCCCCCTAAAGTCTCATGCAGTCATGGGTTGGGCTGCTAGAGCTTATGACTGATTCATGGTCACAACCTACAAAAGTAGGTTGTGATGGAACTTGCCCTGGGTTGATGTCTAAAGGGTATTCACAGGGAAGGCCCTGGGGAATTTGCTTTGGAGCAGCCTTTGAATGAAGATTGCTAAAACCAAGGTGTGGCTTCCTGGAAAAGCTGCCATAGTTTGCTGCTTTTCATTCTGTGGCTATTCCAGAAAATGCCTGGCACCACTCTGCTCATTGCAGATTCCTGCCTTAGGGAAGACAGTCAAAAACACTATGAGTATGGTTCTAAATGTTGCCAGAAAATTGAGTTTTAGGGATTAAAAGACCACCTTGAAACTCTTAGACAAGGCTCTGTTAATTGGTATTCTAAAATTTCTGTATCATTAAGTTACTCAGAGTGTGCTCTAAGCCTCATGTGGGAAATATTTCTAATTTTGAAAGATGTGCAGTAGTTATTATCAGAAATGTACATTCATTTTGTTTATCAGCATTGAAATGACCAGATGCTGATGTTTCTCAGTGTCAGAATGATCATTTTCAGCATCCATTAAATAATGATCACATGGTTTTGCTCCTACAACATTTTGATAAGGTGCATTATAGAAATATCTTCACCACTATTAGAACTAAACGTATCTGATTGCTTATGTCATGCTTTTTGTATACAACTGGCTCAGCATAACTAGAGCTTTGTGTTTTTCCATGCATAATTAGTCTTTAGTCAGATTATAATATCAATCTTACGCTAGCCTTGTAAAATGTTAAATGAATTTGGAGAATGTTTATGTTATTAACTGTAAAACAGTATTTATAAAGACAATGAGAATTACTCACTGAAGTTTAGAAGAAGTAAACCGAATCTGATATCCTCTGGATGGAAATGATAATTTCTTCTATTGTGATAGGTGTGATATTGGGAAATAATATGAAATATGTTTGGTTTTAACATCCCTGGCAATGAGCTCCTAAAACCTTTGTAATTTTCTGATAGGTGTGAAGAGAGTGCTTTTGCTATTGTCTTGGTTACTTTTCTCTCACTGCTGAGACAAAATACCTGACACCCAAAATTAAGGAAGGAAAGGTTTATTTAGCTTATAGTTTGTGGAGGTTTCAGTCTGTGCTTGGCTGGCTCCAGGGCAGAGTGGCACATGGCAGAAGGCAACAGTTCACAGTGGCAGAAAAAAGCAAAAGCAACAAGAGCAAAAGGGAGGAGGGGCAGCAAGCAGCCTCTTTCCCTCCCTTACCTTGTATGCAAACTACGCCCCAGAGCAGGTGTAGTACTCACACCCATAATCCCAGCATTGGACCATGGATCAATCATAAACTCTAGAAGCCCACCCCATGACTGCATGAGGATTTGGGGGGGACATCCATACACAAACCATAACAGTTATTCATGATTGCTACTCTTGGTAACTTTTAAACACATCTAAATTACGTGAAGGAGCTGGTTGTTGGGGCTCATCCTAGCTTAAGAACAGGGAGTGGTAGCATCATTAGAGGAGAGCAGCTTTATGTACATGGGCAAATAACTTTATTTATAAAGTTCTCCACATCCTTCTCCACATCCAGGGAGGGAATGGCTGGAAACAGAGTTCATCACATGGCCAATGATCTGATCAACCACTCCCAGGCACTGGAACCTCCACAGCCCACTAGAAGAAGGGAGTTGAGAGCTTCCAAGTCCAGGAGCCCATCCAGATGCTGGGAGAATACACAGCCCTGTTCTGGGAGCAAGGAGCTCCTGTTGTCAGGACCTTTAGGACCTTGTACTACATAACTTCATCTGGCTCTTCCTCTGTGTCCTTTCTAAGAAAGCAGTGATAGTGACTAAACTGTTTTCCCTGAGTTGTTTGAGTCATTCTAGCATTTTTTTTTTTTCATTTTAGCATTTTATCAGGGAGTCATAGGAACTCCTGATTTGTCGCTGATTGGTCAAAGTCTAGGGCCCTTAGCTTTACAATCAGTGTCTGAGATGGAATAGCTTTGTCGTACTAAGATTTCCCCTGTGGATCTGATGCTAACTCCAGGTGGTCAGAGCTGAAATGAACGCCTAGCTGCTGTCCAGAGAGTAGCCATACTGGTTGGAAGTGTGGAAACTTCCCGCATATCTGGTGTCAGAAGCATGAGTGGAACTGGTTTATGGGGCTAATTAAATTTTTACTTTTTGAGTCAGATCTTTTTATTTATTTGTTTGTTTTGGGTTTTTTGGCTTTTTTCCAGTACCAGGAATCGAACTCATGACCTTGTGCTTGCCAGGCAG